TGAGCTATCGACGAGCGGTGTCAGAGCCTTCAAAGAAGCCATTGAATACTACAAGATTAAGGCTGACAAGTACAAGAGTGACAGACATAATTATAAAAGAGAGCAATTAAGCCTCTAACAGATTATTGTCTTCATCTAGTTAACAGTCAGCCCGCATCTGCAGCGTACATGCTGTTCCCTAGATTAACTACTTAGACAGTGGATTACAAACCTTAAAGCTACAGTGGGCGTTAACAACTAATTTAAACAAGAACGTGCTGTAACGATTCTACGAATCGTTCCATATCGGGTCGCTCGGATCCTATCCGAAGGGTCCCCGTATCGGCCCCGACCATGACTCGACCCAGTCCCCCGCAGTTACCCCTATTCCCTCATGTATTTAGTCGCACCTCGCCCCTGTAGCTAGCTCGGTAGTTTTCTGATATCCTACGTACAAGGCCTATAGGTGTCATTAGTATTCCCAGGTCTCTAAGTCCCCACGCACTCCTATATGCCTCTAAGTGGATTTATACCGCATTTAGACCTATTGTCTTGCCTGCGCTGTTACATTATATTAGAAAACTTACTTTTGCTAGTAATAGCCTTATTAATAATATTGCATTAATTATTTGTTTAACTACATCTAACTTTAAAAAGCATTTAATTTAGTTTAGGTTACTATTTTTACACACTGTTACATTAAATTATTTAGTTATTATAGACAGGATCTTAAAGACCTTCTATTAACTAAAGCCTTTAGGTTTAGAACTTTCTATCCCTTATAATTAAAATTACCTTTAAAAAAGTTGTAAAGAGTGCGCTAAAGTAGAAACTTAAAGACTACTAATAACTTATTAAAATTAGAGATAACTACTAATGTCTAACCTTTAACTACTCTTAGACCTTAGTATAAAGCTTACAACACGCTCTAGCTATAGCTAAGGCAAAATGCTTACTACTAGAGCTAAACAACTACTAACCTTAACAGCTAAACTCTTTTTTATAAGACTAGAAGCTAAAAACCTACTAGATTTAAAGTTAAACTTTAGTAGTATAGCCCTAGAAAACTAAGTTACTTAATTAAAAGCATAAATTAAATAGCTAACTAGATTAAAAACTGTTAGTCCTAATTAACCCCTACTAACTACTAAATTACTTATAATAATGCTTTAAATTACTTTTGCTACTTTAATAGTAAAAAACCTTTTAGGCACCCCTAAGCTCTTTTAAAGCTACCTTACTAAATATACACTTAAGATTAAGAACTTTACAGACAGTAAAGAACCTATGTTTAAATAATAGTAAGCCTCTATTATAGATAGACTTAACATTAATGCAGATTACTATTAGAGTAAGCGCGCACGCATAGCGCTAGTATAGGGACACACTGCTAGTATTGCAAAGAAATACCTAGAGCCTAGATACCTAGCTAAATTAGATTACTTTTAGTTTAGGAACATAAAAGAAATAATTAAGCTTTTATAAACTTACTTTATTACTAGTAATAAAAAAACAGAGGTGTAATAGGCGTTTTAAACTTTAAAAATAAGTAAAGAAGAAGCATTTTTTACTTTTAAAGCTTACTTTATTAGTGCTGCTGTTAAAGGGTCTATATTAAAAGTAAAATAGTTTTTCTACTTATAAGAAAAAATACTACTTAGCTTAAAAGTACTAAACTTAGGTTTTAAGCACACTTAAAAGAGCTTTTTTAAGACTATAGTAGCCTACCTAATAGCTTATAATATAGAAAGAAGGATTACCTTTACTATTTTAAAGTAAACTGTTAATCTTACTTAATAGTCTACTATTAGACCTAGTATAAATTAGTCTTAGAAGGTTTCTAGTAATACATCTAAGGCAGCATACTATTCTAGTGCACTCTAACCTGCACCTCTGTTAGTAGCTTAGTCTACCTTAATTACCTATAGACAATCTAGCTAGACACCTGCCCTAGAAAGACAAACAACTTCTAGTAACTATTATAATTATAAAAAACTAAAATATTTTACTAGTAACTACCCTATCTCTATGTAAGGCCGGGATGGCGCTTACGTGTAAGGCTGAGATAGTGCTTACGTGCGACGGGTATATATACTATTCTGTACGCAATAATTAACGTTGGTTAATTATTCGCACCTTTTTAGTTGTATTAGCAGAGTGGTGCGGAGCCCTGTCCTTACACTCTAGAGTATAAGAAATAGAGGTAGAGCAGTAAAATTTTAAAAAAGAATTTATAAATAAATAATTTTAATCTAGATGCCTTTTAGATAAGAAATAGTAACACCTAAAAAAACTTTTTATTTTAGGCTTAAGTAAGTATAATTTATTAAACATTAATTTATTACACTTGTTTAAAGAAAAACACTTTTAAGTTCCTACTGTTTTATATTTAAAAAGCATTAAAGTCTGTTTAAATTCTTTAGTTAATACTAGTGCTTATAGTTTCTTATTTATTAACTTACTAACTACTAAGTTATTATTTTAATGCTTTTATGTCCCTATCTAACACTTACTATTTAAAGTTATAGTTAAGGGCTTTTAAGATTAGATCTAAGTCCCTATCTACTAGTATATCTGCCTACACATGTAAATTAATAGAAGAAGTATCTAAAACTGCTTCTTTATTATTATAAACTTTAGCTTCTAGGATTGCATTATTAGTATTAAATAGTTACATTGTTTTAAACTTTATCTAGATATAAAGAGGAATTAAATTATATAGCCTAGCAAATATATGCCTACTTATAAACCTTTGCTACCCTTGCTTATGTAATTAACCTAGCCTACATATAATAAAGAAGTAGAGCTAGATATTAAACAACATAACACACTATAAAAAAAGGACTAATTTTAGTAGTTATGCAGCCTAATAATTTACTGCATTAAGGGTTTACTAAGGCTACTAAAATTATATAGATCTTCTATTATCTACAGTCTAAAGACACTTAAATTATTTTTCTGCCTATTTATTAAGAAGTCTAGAATAGGTCTAAAGGAGGTCTATTTAGCTACTATTACCTTAATTTTAGTAAATGCTTTTTATTTTAATATAAAAAAGAAAAAAAATAAGTTCTTTTTAACTTCTATTTATAAAATTAAGTAGTTA